AGAGATCAACAATGCATGGAAAACAAATCATTCCAAGCTGCTATTTGGACGACGAGAGGTCCATACGCTAAGAAAGGTTTGAGCTCTAATCTAAGTATTTTGTAGGCTATATGTTTTTCCTATGTTGCTTCCAAAGACATTTTCCCAAACTTTTTTTTCATGAAATCCTGCATGATTTCAAGTGCTAGGGTGTTTTAATTCTATGTTTTTGCTATTTCTGCATTTCCTAAAATATTTGTTGCAAACGGCGTGTTCGCTGTCTGGTTTCTGGACTGGTTTGAGCTGGCTGTTGCTGATTTATTGTGAAAGAAAAACATTATTAGCTGAAGACGAAGCAGGCCTTCGATTTCTCACGCAGTGACCAAGAGATAGGAGGCTTGAGCATTAGTCAAAGGCGCCGACCCACCCGAGGTCCAGTTCAGTCCAGTCTAGTCCAGTCCCCCGATGGCCGATGCTCCAGTCCAGTCCGCTGTCCGCCGATGCCGATTGCGGTGAGCAAGAGCAACAGAGTTAGGTCCCGTTTCCAAGCCCGGTATTTGCTCCAAAACCATTGTAAATCATAGGTCCTTTATTTTTTTTTTCGACACAGGCCACATTACATGTTTGGATGACCGGTGAGCACAATAATTTTAGGGTTATTTTAATCTATGCCATTACAATTCTTTGAGTTTCGCGAAACATCATTATAATTTACCTATTTGGAGATCTGCCATTACAATTTCATCTCTCCCACATTCATACCATTTTATACGGCTGCCGCATACGAGGCTTACTGTCAAACACGTATGCCTACTGGAAGGCATACGGACGTCGAGTTCCCGTCTCCTCCGTCAGACCGAGAGCGCCCACGGCGACCTGTGCGTGAGCGGAGCGGCGGCGTGGCCTACGCGCAAGGGGGAGCAGCCGCGCTCGCCAGCGGCGGCCTGCACGCGAGAGCGACGGGGCGCTCCTGGTCGTTGGCCCCGCAGGCTGCATGTTGTCGCCAGGCGTGCAGTCGTGGTGGAGGCAGCATAGCCCGCGCGCGATCCGGGTGCACGTGTGAACAGCTGCCGCGCGGGCGAGAAGCCAACGCCGCCACCACCGCGGGCGCGCACGAGCACCTGCAGTCCCAGCACGCCGATGCGGAGAATGAAGGAGAGGGCGCTGATGTCCGTGGGCCTCCAACCCCGTCCCGTGCTGCCCATGGAGGAGACGAGGAGCACAAAAGAGAAGGCTGCGGCAGCACCTGCTCCAACGCACCAAGAGGCCGCTGGAGGAGTTCGCCGCCGCCGTGGTCCGTGGAGGGCACGTCCAGGCCTTTGGAGCTCTCTGTTCGTGCCTGTGGACGCGGAGTCCCCGTCCGCGTCTCCTCCGTCGAGGACGCGGAGCTCCCCGGTGACGTCATCGTGTTGATGGACATGACGAGGAAGTCGACGATGGTGGCCGCGGCGGGGAACTCGCGCCGGTTGTTGAGCACGTGCGCGATGGCAGCCGCCGTGGGGTTGCCCAGCGCGCCGCCGCCGCCGCCGGCCCGACACCACCTCAACGGATCCACCACGGACGCCACCTCCGCTCCGGCGCTGAAGAAGAGAAGAGGCCACACGCCCTTAGTCCGAGCAGTGATGCCATCCAGTCCTTCAGCGAGGCAGAGGAGCTCCAAGAGGTTGGTTGGGTGCACGAACACGAGCTCGCCTCTGCACATTTCTTCGTTCTTGTTACCTTTTCACAATGCTCGCGATCAGGGAAATTATTATGTTGTTGGTTGCGTGGCGGCAATGATTTCGAAATTCTTCATGTAGTCATCGCCTTCTGAAAATCTAAGAATTTCTTTGTGGTTTTTCCGTGTTTGTTTTGTCTGAGCATTCCAGCGAGGCAGAAACACCAACCTTCAGCAGAATGCGAAACTAAGGAAATTCATCAGCCCAGGAGCGAGACACAGAGCTCCCTGAAGAAAGAGGCAGGGACCTGAACTCTGCTGCTAGCTGTTCTTCACGGATCCTATATTTTGTTCTACGCTAGCGCTCAGTGGCCTGCTTGAAAGAAAAGCTCCGATCCAACACAAAAGTGTGCCTGAATATCGCAATGTTGCAGATAACATGATGAACTGAACTGAACTGAACGTGAAGTTGTTTCTTGCTCTGTTTTTTTCCTTTTTTGAAAGATAGTGTCTTGCTCTGTTTCTCGGACTGACATGATGCACACATGCCGGAAGTCGTCTGCGGATGCGCGAGAAGAAGGGTGCCCGCATCGCTAGGTCGTAGCAGGGGACCAGCACGGGGCGCCGTGTTGCGGAGGAGGAACGCCAGCGCCGTCAGCGCTGCACATGCGCCGCCCGCGCGGCCCGCGCGCGAACAGCAGTGCGACCAGAACGCCCCCCGCGCCGAACCCCGCAGCCGCATCGAAGAAGTCGGCGAGCCGCGCCGCGGGGTTGCCTGCGCGCCGCTGCAGCGCGGCCTCCATGCGCACCAGCGCGGTGCTGGCCAGGAGCCCGTCGGCCGTGCGCGCTGCCATCTATGGAGATGATGCACTCCTCTCCCGTGTTGGTGGCTGCCCGTGGCAGCCTGCGCGAGCGGAGCGGCTCTCGTCCGCGGTGGGCACCACGTGAGGTGGAGCTCGTCGACGGCGGCGACGCAGAGCGACGGCAGCTCCTTCTAACGGAGAAGCCAGGGACTTAACGTCCATACACTGTACGTATACTAGTCTGACAATAGACCCATATACACTGTAGGTGTAGAAAATGGTATAAACGAGGGAGAGATGGAGTTGCAATGGTTTAAAATAGACGAATTTTAATGAACGTATCTCCGAGCTTCAAAAATTATAATGGCGCAGATAAAAAAAGCCCATAATTTTACACCCGGTTTGGCCCAAAACCGCTGAAAAAAAAAATGTCGCCTGCTCAGGTCTGAAAAAAATACGATAACCACCGGGCACAACTCGACTCCGTCCGCTCGGTGCCGAGGGGCGCGGGTTTCTCCTGGCGGCGCCCAACCCTGGAACCACGCCGCCGCCGCCGCCGCACCGACCCCGTCGGTCCCTCCCCTAAACACTCCTCTACGGCTGCTCACCTCGCCGCTGGAGCTGACGGAGGCCTCAAGCGAGCGCGCGCCGGATCTGCGACCTGATCCGCGGCAAGAGCGCGCCGGGCAGGAGGTGGCCAGATCGACAACGGGCTGGGTTCGGTTCGGACGGCACGAGCGAGGCCGGTCTAGGTGAGGCGGGGATCGGCGGCGAAGAGGCTTGGTGCGCAGCGGAACGGTGTGGTAGGCTTCTAGCGTCTCACAATTTCTTTGTCAAAGTTGTGTGATGTTCTGTTCTTGGTGATCGTCGTCGTCGTGGGAGGAGTTCGATTAGCCCTTGATGCTTTGATTGACAGGAATACATGTGGGGATTAACATGTGGTGATTGAGATTTCAACTACTAGATAGGGCACTGATTAAATGAGAGAACGATGTGTCAGGCTAGATCGATAGGATAGGATGCTCGGAGTAGTAGACACTAGTGCAGTGCTGATTCAGTAGTGTAACAAGTGGAAGAATGATGTGGTCTTTGATCGATGTGGTCGGTAGTAGTAGTAGACACCAGTGCAGTGCTGATTCAGTAGTAGACATCAGTGCAGTGCTGATTCAGTAGTAGACATCAGTGCAGTGCTAATTCAGTAGGATGCTAGAACAATGTGGTCGGTTTGAATGATGCTAGGAGTAGTTGACCATCAGTACATATGGTCTTTGATCGGTTTGTAGCCTGACGGTTTGTTTTCCCTTTCATGTTTAATTAGCATATAAGTACATTATTGAAATGGATGGATAACAGAGCGATGTGGCAGTATCAGGTTCTTTAAAAATGGTTATTTAACAAGTAGAGGACTCCTATCATCCAATATAGTATTCATCTTCTATGTTTTTTTTTGGTACAACTTCCTAATCTATGCCATCATATTCTTTATTTATATACTATCCTTCTCTGTACTACAGCATTGATAGTGCCTTGTTGGCTTCCTTTCATGTGAATGAGTAGTAGCTCTAATACATTACTGCTATATGCTTATATCTCCATCTCCATCAAACAATTGTAGAACAAGCATCCACTGCTGCTGTTGAAATCGCACATACTGCTGAACCTGAATACTACTTTCCAGTGTTCTCTAACTTTTGTCTTACTAATTCTCAGTTTTCCTTTCCTTTTTTTCAACATATCAGTTTTTCTTTCCTTGCCTATCCATTGTCTTAAACTTGAGTACAGAATATTTTTGTGGAATCTGAAATGCGATTATGTTATCTTCGGAAGAATTCTGTAGCCATTCCCATTTAGTTATGAAGTTCTCTTTCTCTAATGTAAAGTGGGTGATGAGAGGATTGAGAGCCTAGAGATTCTAAGACTGAATGCAGATTTCACAATGATTGACTAATGGTTGATTAACATTTCTGTCGCATTGCAATTCCCAAATTTGACGTTACGCCTCTCACTGAAATTTGAGACTGATACAGGTCCTGCGTAAAATGTCAGAAGTGTTATTCTAAACCTGAATGCAGATTCTACAATGGCATACTATCTGCTCCCTTGTGTCCTCGTGTTTTGTAAATTTCTGTGTATTTTTATTGTCAAATATACAGTTCGCACGTTGAAATATTTTTATTGTCAAAATTGGATTTTTATTTTACTATCACCAAAGTTTGTTTATTTAGATTTTTTTTTTCAACGCGAGGATGAACCCCATTTCCATTTAAAGAAAACGGAAATACAGCAAGTTTCCTGAGATGGGATAGAGCAGAGAAAGAAGGAAGAGCAACACCAGACAATCCTGAACTCTGTCTCAGAGTCAGAAAATTGCTGGAAATCTAAGAGAACCTAAGTGCCCAAACCGCTCCATCTAGCGACCCAATGATTCACACTCCAGTTATTACAGACCAACAAGTAAGATAAAAGGAACACCACACATGGGTGTCCAAAAGACAGAGTCTAGGGAGAAACAAGAAAAAAGGTTAATCATCAGGCCCAGAGTTATCTTTTTTCATGGCTCCTTAGGCGTTTTGGTCTCCACCGTCCTTGCCGTCATCAAGCTTCAGGCGCTTGTATTTGTCTTCAGGCGATTCTTGTGAAAGAAGCAGTTCCTTCGCCACCTTCAACATGGTGTTTACACCATTGATGAGCATCACCCTGTCCACCTCCGCATACAAACCAGAATCTAGTCTTTTCACCATTTCTGATTTCAATTCCCCTTCCTTGTAAGTAGATATCTTTTATTTTAAGCAAGTCATACCAGATGGGGGAGTCAGAGATCTTATGAGACACATAGAAGATAGAATTGTTGGTTAAATACTTGGCCTGAATTATCTCCTGCCAGAGCCCAGATTCTTGCTCTAGTTTCCACCACCATTTAGCCAACAAACTTATATTCATTTTTCTCAGGTCCTTAATGCCAAGACCACCTTTCCTCTTACTTCTACGTATCTTGACCCATTTCACTAAATGATACTTTCTCTTGGTTCCACCCCCTTGCCAGAAAAAGGATCTCCTAAGTTTGTCAATTTTCTCAGAAATGGTTTTTGGAAGAAGATATACAGACATTTGGTACATTGGGGAGTTGTTCAGACAAGAGCTTTATTAGAGTGGATCTTGCAACAATGGACATTGCACCCCCTTTCCAAATATCCAATCTCTTATTGCTCTTATCCACCAAAGGGGAACAAGCCAATTTGGCAATTAAAAATATTTGCATAGACCTCACTCCAATTACCATTATCATTAATCATAATGACCTCACTTTTGTTAAAATTTATTTTTAAACCAGCCATCAACTCATACATGTACAGAAGGAGTTTCATATTTCTAGCTCCCTCCACACTGTGTTTGAGGAAAACTATTGTGTCATCTGCATATTGCTGTATGGCCACACCTTTTGGGATAATATGATCTATCAATCCAATAATTAGGTTCATTTCTTGTGCTTTCTCCACCATTGTGGTTAAACTGTCAGCAGCAAAATTGAAAAGGATGGGTGACAAGGTATCCCCTTGTCTGACCCCCTTATGACTTTTAATATAAGAACCCACACTATCATTCAATTTGATACTGACAGTCCCCCCAGAAACTACTTGAGATATCCACACTCTCCATTGTTCACTAAAGCCCCTCATTTGCATGTAATCAGACAGAAATTTCCAATTCACCTTGTCATATGCCTTTTCAAAATCTAATTTTAAAATAATCCCCATCTCTTTTCTTCTCTTGGTCTCATGAACTATCTCATGCATTGTTGGGTAAGAAATTACTCAAGCATCAAAGTTTGAACACAAGGCAAAGTTGTATTCATTTCATGATCGTACTGTACATGTCAGAGGGGGTATTTATAGGGCCCCAGTCTTCGTATCTTACATAAAATGACTATTTTACCCCTAACTCAAATATTTACAACCCTTGTCAACTATAAGGGCGAAGTGGTCATTTTACACTACTTCAGTCTTCATCCCTCTATTTGGCCATCATTCTTCTGGGAAATTCTGCCTTTTGTCTTAGTCGATTTCTGCTATGCTTTTCTTTGTCTTCGTTAATCAGCGAAGCCAAATCTTTACCCGCGAAGTTAAACTTCTGTCTTCGCTTTGGTCTTGACTTCTTCTTTATCTTGATTTCTCCTTCTTCTTGGCGAAGTCAAATCTTTTCATACGAAGTACAAATGTTGTCTTCGCTTTCCTTTTTCCTGCAAACAGGTTTCGTTACGGAATCTTAAGAATTTAGCTCCAAAGTTTGGGGCTGTGTTTTGTGACGAAGTTAAATTCCCAACATGCATACACATAATACCAGTTAAAATATTCCTACCTTTGAGAAAGGCAGTCTGAGACTTATTGATTAATTTTTCAGCAATAGGCTCTACTCTCAAAGTAAGTTTTTGTGATCAATTTGTACAGACAACTCAGTAGGCAAATTGGCCTATACTGCTGTATTTTATTAGCATCTTTGACTTTGGGCAGTAGAGTTATGATCCCATAGTTTAATCTGCTTATGTCAGCACTATTATTATGAAATTCTTCAAATAGCTGAACTATGTCATTTTTTACTATATGCCAGCAAGATTGGAAGAATTCAGCTGGAATTTTGTCAGGACCTGGAGCCTTGTTTTTTTTTTCCATTTGAAACAAAGCCACCTTGATTTCTGTCTCAGAAAAAGGTTGGCATAATTTTTCATTATCTGAGTCAGATAATTTAAAGGAATCACCCCAGATATTAGGGTCCAGATTAATGTCATGTTGTGGAACAGGACCAAAGAGTTCAGAATAATACTCTCATGCATGCTTAAGAAGATTTTCATCACCTTCTATACATGTTCCATCTTTTTCAAGAGAAATAATTGTGTTCTTTCTTTTTCTTCCATTTGCACACCTATGAAAGTACTCAGTATTACTGTCCCCTTTTAAGAGCCATGTCTCATGGCTTCTTTGAAACCAGTAAAGTTCTTCTTGTTCTAAAATTTTAAAGTTTTCACAAAGCAGCCAATGTTTTCTACTAATTTGCTCCTTGGAAAGCTCAGCACTTTCTTCAAGTTCTTCTAAGCTAGTTAATTCCACTTGGATCTCCTTTATTTTTTTTCCCCTAAATTCCCCTTGCTGATTGAAGCCCCAGCCTTTGAAATATTGCTTAAATAACTTCAGCTTTTGCTGAATCTTGTCTAACGCTGACTTGGCTCTACAGGGTTTATTCCATATTTTCTCAACTAAGGAAAGAAACTCAGGTTTATCGAGCCAACTCAAATCAAATTTGAATTGAATGCTGGCTGTTTTTTTTGGGTGTTCCAGAGGAGATTATCAGAGGATTATGATCATAAATATCCCTTGGAAGTTTTTGAACCATGACCAAAGGAAAAGCATCTTCCCAATCTTTTGAAACCAAAATTCTATCTAACTTTTCCAGAGTAGGAGGTTCTTGGTTGTTGCCTTGTTGGACCATGTGTACATACCCCCACTCATGAAAAGTTCTCTTAGTTCAAAGAAGTGAATGATAGAATTGAAGACACTGGAGTGTCTATGTAATCCTTTATTAGAATTTTTTTCATTTGCATATCGAATAATGTTGAAGTCCCCCCCAATTAAAATGGGGTCAGAATTAGCATCACAGAATCTAGAAAGCTCAGACAAGAAATCAAACTTGTGCTCCTCTTGGGCAGCACCATAGACCACTAACAGATTCCATTTTAATTTGTTTTCCTTGTCCCAGAGGTTTAACTGTATCATGAAATCTCATTTTTTGAAAGAACCCACATCAAATTTCTGTAACTTAACCCCTATTAGAATTCCACAAGATCTACCTTTGGAAGGAATCCATTCCCAAAGGTAATCTTGATGAATGTCAAAATTTCTTAGCAACTTGGATTCACATTCTTCAATCATGGTCTCTTGAAGACCAATAAAGTCAAAGCCATACTGGAAGATTAGATTCTTGAGATATGTAGAGACCCCTTTCTTTTTAAGGCCTCTACAGTTCCATATCAGGCCTTGTATAGTCATTTTCTAATTCTTTTCTTCTTTTGTTTGGGGGATTGAAGGATAATTGTACCTTCTTTTCCCCACACTTTCAAGCTAGAAGCTTCCTGGTCTTGATTCTTCTTTTTATTTCTTGGAGAGATTTTAATTTTTCTTTAAGATAACTTTCCTGCTTTCTTGGAATGTGCAAGGATTTCACTCTCTGTCTCAGAAAGATCATCCTGCAGCCACTCAATCATTCTCTCATTAATATCCTCTTCTACAGTTTCCTCCTCAATTTGTTCAGCTATGATCACCTTATGTTGTTTATCATGTAAATTTTTTCTAGCAACTTCTAAATCCTTAAGCATATCAAAAGTTCCAAAACTGATTTTATGCACATCAACACCCATGTTGCAGGATAAAGACTTAATGGTCTCAATTGGAAGATCTGAAAACATAGTAGAAGTATATGTGTTACCTTCCAAATTCCTTTTCCTTGCCATCATCTCATTCTTCTCTTTGGTGGAGATTGCAATATCCTTCTTGAGCCTATCACTTTTTCTGATCCTTTGATTCTGTTGGATGTTGTCTTTGTAGCTTCAGCACATAAAGGAGCCTCTTGTATCTCGGGCTGTCCTTCCTGCCCATTCTTCTCTTCTTCAGTCCCAACACTTTCTTGAGTGTATACAATAGCTTCTTCAGTGACATCCACTTCAGTCTGAGTGTTGCCTTCTTCAGTTGTGTTTGTATCATAGAGTTGTTTCTCAGAGTTCATATATCCAGTCCCACTTTTCCTTGATTTCTCTGTACCACCTATGAGATGATCCATACAAGCATTTGTGGTGTTTGCTTCCATGTACCAGAATTGTTGAGAGTCCTCACCATTCTTCTGCCCTGAGCATCCTTGCCCAATGTCTCCAAAACCATCAATTCTTCTGATTCTATCAGTCAAGTCACAATCAGATTCAGATTCTTCAAAGGTTTCAGGAATGTTAACCTTCCCCCCACTATCCTCACCTTCAACAGGTTTCTGCAGAGCTACACCCCCTCCATTAGTACCTTTGCTGCCCAATTTAGGAGGAGCAGACAATGTCACATCTGCAGCCTGCTTCTTACCACCCTTGTCAGATCCCATATCAGATGTCTGCCCACTAGATTGGCCCCCAGCTTTTGTTTGTGAACCCATACCAGTATTCTCATCAGCCTTATATTTCTTTGAGGGTGGAGGTTGATCCCTCTCAGTCACTTTGATTCCACTCTGTAAAGTTCTAGCAGGGCCCTCAACCTCAACTTCCCTTTCAAAGAGAAAATCATGTAAGACCAGACCTAAAGTAGATTCTGCAGTCCTTGGCACCTTGGTGATATCTCTACAGGCAATCCTAACTCTGACATAGTCACTCCTCAGCCTGGTCTTCTCATCAATTTCTAACACCTTCCCAACTAGACCACCCACCTTAGCACAAGTTCTGATAGACCTCTGATCAGTTGGAATGTCCCAAATTCTGAACCAAGCCTGCTGTAGCTGTCCTTTTGCACCAAGGCTTGTAGTGTATGGTTCAATCTTCATCTCTGCATTCACATATCTCATAGCAATGTGAGGAAAGAAGCTCCAATCCTTGACCATCTTCGCAGTTGGGAACCTCATAGCATACTTGTTTTCCCCAATAGGCCTGGCAGTCCATCTCCAGGTTTCAGAGCCAACCACATTGATGAACTGCTTCTCAATGTCTTTACCAGTGGCCTGCCCCTTGACAATAGAAATGACAGCAGTGCACTCTCTTTCTCTAGCCATTCTTGGGTCAATATCCTCCTCAATGAAAAAGAAACTTTGATCTTCTACTTGGGTTGCACAGAGTTCAGGCCCACTGTTCCAGGGAATGCATTTCTTACAATCATACGCCATATGACCTTGAACCCCACATATCTCACAACAGAGTCTTCTACAATCTTTGGTGACATGGTTAAACATACCACAGATTTCACAAGCAATCCTAGGTTGATTATTGGAAGAGCCAGCTTGAGTATCATGAATCTGAGCAGCTTTGTTACCTTGCGAGGAACCAGGAGCATCCTCAGCTTTCTTGCCCCCCCCCCACACCACACTGATCATCAGACTGCTTGTCCTGGCCCTTCTTTCCCTCCCATCTCTCTTCAGCAGATTGCTGTTGCTCTTCTTCTTTAGCTGCATCATCTCTCGCAACGGAATCTTTGTTAGTACGCTCCCAGGTAAGGTTTCGGCCAGTGGCACGGCCCCTACCTCTATCCTGCCTTCCGGCGCCAAATCCCTCTCGCCATGCCAAAGTTCCCCCGGTGTCCCCCTCCACCACCTCCGTGATTCATCCCAACAGTGACCGTAGGAGCCGGATCGGCTCGCACAGCAGCAACAAACGACCTCTCCGATCTATCTCTCCATAGATGACCGACGAACTTGATGACGATTGCTTTTGTGTCGAGGCGGCTAGGGTTAGCGGAATTGGGGGATGAGCTTTGCGAAGACGGCGTCTGGGGGTGTGATGAGGGTGAAGCCGGTGCTCCGACTCCTAGTCTCCACCTACCTCACGCTCAACCCCCCCCCTGGATCATTGCCGCGTGTCCCTCCCCTCGGTCCGTGCCCTAGGATTCCCGTGACCTCCAAAACCTTGGGGGGTGGGCGTAACCACCATCTCTGACTGGTTGGCTCCACCCCCAGATGATTTGAATCACCAAATCCTTTTCCCACTTTCAATCTCTTCTCCGGTGATGCCGCATCGCCATGGCCGGGCCACTTGAATCTGATTGGAATCACTTTAATCTTCACAGTATTATCCTTGATTTCCTCGAATGGAAGAGAATCTGATCCCACGGCGTGTTGGAAGCCCCATGACTTCACATCGACCGGGAGACCAAAGCCCCTTGCTCGCTCCCGCCGTTGGCGACTCTGAGACAACGCCAGAAATGCTTCCTCATTCTGTAACCGATGACCTCTGTCAACCCGTGCCGCCACGTTCCCGATGTTCATCACCCGCTGCGACTCGTGGCGGTTGGTGAGCACGACGGTGTCCTCCACCATCCTCGCGGTCTCTCGATGAGGGGTGGAAGGAGCCTCCTCCGTTTGTTTATTTAGATTATACAGTGTATTTTATAACTCTATATTTTCCAGGTTAGTCGCCGCAACATTTAAAGATCATGCAAAATCGAAGCATTTACCGATGGAGGAGTAGGAAGTCACACAATAGTGTTTGATGCTAGCAGTTCCTTCAACCATCAGTCAACTGTTTTTAAACATTATTTATGTCCTTGTATTTGAGCTTAGAAGAACAATCTGAGCATGCCAACTTTGTTGGATCCTATTTGAAGGAACTATGTCGAATTTTGGCTCCTTGTTGGATATGAATTTTGTTTAACTTTCAGCTTGAACATGTCTTGTTTTCGAATTTTCTATATGCTCCATGTCATGATTGTGCTTACTGGCTCACTGACATGTCCAGTAGTCACTGCAGCAGACTTTGGTCATTTGGGACGATGTCAGCACAAGTCATCAACGTTTGCAGACTTCAGCACGTAGGAGTATTCTTGTGAGAACCCTGCTACAGACTTCAGCCATTTGGGTTGTGAACGAACGCATGCAATGGTGGATGCAGTAGTGGTTATTCTGGGTAACGTAGACAATTTTTTTACCTTCAATCCAAACAGCGGATTCCAAGGGAAAAGATATACAACTGTATTCTTGTGCACTAGAAATTACACCTGTAAACCAATTACATGTCAATAAAAATACCATTCTGCCAAACAGGGCCTTAGGTAGCCAGGCCGTTACGTGCACTCGGCAGGCTTGGTGCATTCCTTTCCAGCGATGCCGACGGCCGAGAGAGCATGGAAGGCAGGGCGTGATGCGTGATGTGCATGGTTGCGCCTGTTGTGAAACGTCACCCCCTGGCCGAATGGACGAAGGGACACATCCATCCAAACGACATCGTTTCACAGGGACATTGTCACCAAAGGCGCAATGTCACCAAAGGGACATGTCCTTTGGACACTAACAGTTGTGTCCGTAAGGACACACCCCTTCGCTTTGTATATATATCTAAGAGATCAATGAAAGCAGTTTAGTTGTTTCCAAATCTTGTTCATTTTCATTCACTTTCAACACGTCATCAGCACTGCTCTATTGGACAAGACAGAGAACGACGACGCAGAGGCAACGAAGGCCTCTGAACACACATCGGTAAGCATGGCGAAGATAGACTTACCGTCTCATGTTGTTCGTCAACTGTTCTTCGCACTTCGCCGTGTCGGTGGAGTTTGCCGTGGCCCGATCCGCCACCATGGCCGCCATGGACAACGCCAGCGGCGTCTCGGCGCCTTTGGGCCTCGTGTTCGCTGCAGTAATGATGCCCATGGTCATGGCCATGGTCCTTTCGCCGCCTCTTCGACTCCATTGTTCGTGGCCTCCGTTCCAATGCGGTTCCTCGCTGCCTTTGGACTCCGATTCGTGGCGCCATGCTTCTCCTCCGCCGCGATCTCGTCTCGCAGAGCGACCACCATCTCTCGCCTTGGCTTGGCGGTGTGCGGCCCAAAGAACGCAGCTGCGCCCGAAGCGGTTGAAGCCCCGGCGCCGCCCGTTGAAGAAGTGGTTGCCGAGCCAATCGCCGCGTACGTCCCCATGGAGCCGATGTCGCCGGCACCATCACCGCTTTCGCTTCGGTGTGACTTCGCAAGGAGTTCACCTTGATCCCGCGACACGCCTTTCAGTATCGTACTCACCGCCGACGCCCACCACGGCCTCTCCGACTCCGGTGGCGACAGGCAACGGCGTTCCCCCGCTCGATCCGTGGTTTCTGAACACGCGGGCTGCTCCCACGCTTGACGCCGCGAAGATTGAGGAAGAGGACGAGGACATGGTGGCTGCCCCCGGCGTCGGCAACCTCTTCAACCCCGGTGGCTAGCACCGCGCGCTGCTGTCTGATTTCTTTTCATGGGTGGACCCTCGGCTACCTCCTCCCGTGGCGACCACCCCAATGGCTCCTCCTCCATCGGTGGCGCTTGCCCCCTTCCTCGATGACTCCAAAGACGGCGGCCGCTTCCTCGGCCGCGACACGCGCCGAAGCTGTCGCCCGCATGAAGGCGCAGGCTCTCCCGGCGGTGCCTCCAACTTCGACTGAGGGCACAACCACCACGCCCCCCACGATTCGCCGCCTTCTCGGCTGTAGGGTGGCTGCCGTGGACAGGCGCCCGAGGATCCGCCGGGGGACATGGAACCCGGCCGTGCTCGGTCGCCCGTCGGCAGAGGTGCTCAACATGGCTAGCGGCGGCAGTGGCTTCTTCTCCCCGGAGGACGGGGACTCTTCCTCGAACTGAAGACAAGCAGCGGTGGCGCAGTGGAGGGCGACGGAGAAGTGGTTTGAGGCGACGGCGGCGGTCTCCGAGGAGACAGCAGCGGCGAGCGGTTAGGGTTGAAACCCTAACCGCCGCTTGCTCCTTGCTTTTAAAGGCCCGCGCGCGCAAATGGGCCGGCCCAAATGGCCTGCGCCCTGCCCTCCCTCCCTGCTGTCCACTGTGCACTCGTATGGGCCAGGTTGGGCCGAAAATGTGTTCCTGATTCTTTTGGCCCAAGTGACTCCTTCTGTTTTTATTTATTTCATTTCAACATTAATTCGTATAAGACTCTGTTAGTCTCTTATAATTATGTGCTGTAAAATTAAGTACTCTTGTGTTTAGTCGCTGACTTTAACTATAGTTGTACTTGTGATATTTTATCATTGTAAAATATCCATTTATGATATTATTCAAAGTATTTGTCCCTGTATGTATGACAAATCCAATAAATAATATCCTTGTTATTACGACCATGATCTTGCAAATTATTTATTCATTAATCAATTTTGCAATCGATCATTTTATTTAAGCCCTTTTTATGCTTTTGACTTTAAAGCACTACGCGCTTAAATAATCGATGCGATATTTTATGTAAATTTTCTCATCAATTGTATAACGCGCATGTTCCCTATTTGTTTGTTGGCAATACACAAGGTAGCACCATTGTTGCTACTGTGGGATCTACACTAAGTAAACACTTAGTGACTATCCTCAACGTGCGTACCCAACATTACAAATGAGAACATTTGGTCTACATCTTTTCACAAAGATGACTACCATTAATTCACATTCCTATTGGCCATACACAAGGTAGCACCATAGTTGCTACTGTGGGATCTACACTAAGTCCATAACTTAGTGACTATCCTCAACGTGCGTACCCAATTTGTTTGTGAATTGACTAAGGTCTACATCATTTTTGATGACTACCTTAAGACGTGTTTATACAACTTGCATAATTACTTGGCATCTACTGTTAATACAGACTATGCCCAATTTGAGGTCTACACTTTTATGGTGACTACCTCCATTATTTTATTATGCACATGAGATCTTTACACCATTAATAATACCAGATTTATCTTGTGTTTATCTTGCATCCCATAATTACAACACACCACAATATTTTAATAACTTAAAATGTTTTGATGGTTTGCCTCGTGTAGAATCAATGACTGTCAAAGAGTTTGATTTGCTTGCTCTAGATGGCCACAATTATCCCACATGGGCTGTGGACGTAAAAGTTAGTCTTGTGTCCCGTGGACTTTATCGAGTTGTGTTACCACCCGAAGAGGGTGTTGCACCTCTTGATGATCAACATGTATACACGGCCCTATATCTCATTAGGAGCCATATTCATCTTGATCTTAAGGTTGAATACTTGTTGGAAGAGAAACCATGAAATCTATGGAATTCTCTTAAGCAACGCTATGAACAACAAAAGGCACTTGTCCTGCCTGCGGCCAACTATGAGTGGACGCAACTTCGCTTACAGGATTTTAAAACTGTGAGTGATTACAACCATGCTGTTCATAGGATTTGCTCAAAGTTGCAATTCTGCGAGAAAGAACCTACATATGCGGATAAAATAGAGAATACTCTGTCTACTATGCTTCCCTCTGAAAGGATTCTTCAACAACAATACCATGAAAGGCGTTTCCAGGTTTATTCTGAGCTTATACAAACTTTACTTGAGGCTGAAAAACATTTTGAATTTATGGTTTGGAATAATCAACAGCGCCCCGTAGGGTCTGCTCCATTGCCTGAAGTACATGCTTACACTCAGAATAAACCCAAATTTGATGGTGGACTTTCTGAGACCCATCCTCAGGAAAATTCCAAGAAAGGTAAAAAACAACGCAGACGCAATCAGAAATCCCAAACTCGTGTTCCCAACAAGGGTAAGAACATTTCCAAAAACAGGAATGACAAACCTGTGTGTCAGAAGTGTGGTTGTTATAGCCATATTACAAAGAAATGGCGTACCCCAAGTCATCTTGTTGATCTCTACTTAAAGTCTGTGGGTCGCGGACGTGCTGCACCAGGACAGAAGTATGAAGCCCACTTCAACATTCGACCTGACACCACTAGGAATGAGGCTGGTTGTTCGCAACAAGTTCCAATGGAACCAAGCAGCAGCAACATACGAGGAGGCGAGGATCTTGTTGATACGGGGAATATGATCGTGTAATATGCATCCAACGATATATTTGGAGACTTTGAATAGGCTCCCAGTCCCTTAGATTCTAGTGTCTTTATGTCCTAGTGATTATAATAGTTAAAACAATTTATGTCCTATGTGTTGTAAATATTTAATAATGTCATCACTATTTGGTTTGAATATCCAATAAATGTAATATACACATTTGATATTCAATAAATAACGTATGTATTCTATATATCATCAAAGAGTTTCATATCAAATTCTTTATTTATATATAGTTTCTAGGGGGTAAATCTGATGGAGGAGGAATTATGCCTAGTGGACAGTGGTACCACTAATTCTATACTTAGAGAAACAAAGTATTTCTAAACTCTTACAAGAAGACAAGGAAATATTTTGACAATCGCCGGACGCGATGCTACGATAGTTGGCTCTGGTCGTACCACTATTGTACTCCCCATGGGTACCCAAATTACAATTGAGGATGCATTATTGTATCCCGATTCAAAACGTACCTTGTTAAGTTATAG